TTTAAAGAAAATGTCAATAGACACGTGGTTTTGTTCACGCTTGCACATTAATTATTAGACATTTTTAATATTTTAAGCTCATCGAAAAAATATTATTAATGATGAATATTTGCACATTTTAACCACCCCTTAAACATTGTTCACGAAATGTCTTCATGGTTTTAAAAACGCAAACAACGATGTAATCATCATCAAAGCGTATAGAATGTGAGAGAGTGAGATTATGTAGGGGCTCCCAACTATATGTCTAAAGAGAAAGACAAAGAGTACACTACGCGGGGCCCAGCTTTGTGTCTAGAGAAAGAAAGTACATTACCTCCCTGCCCTCGTCCAGTCCTCTTGGCCCTTTTAATTTTGTCCTGTTACTATTTCTGCTTGTGTTCTTGTAGGGGTGCTGAGCAACAAATAACCATTCATGCCGGGAGCAGGGTCATACCGGCGGATAAGCATTGCGAATGGGCATAATACACGGTCCTCATTACCGAAAGGTCCACGTGGCACATCAAGAACATCGCTCAAGCACTAATTTACAAGGCAGGTCCGATTTTCTTTTTAATTTCATTTCCTAATTTGTGTTTGGTTGCCGAGAATAGGAGGGCAACGGAAGAATGAAACTGCTGAGTATTAATGTCATCTATTTGGTTGCCTAGAAAATTTGAGTCTAGATTTTCCTAGTTAATAGGGAAAAGGGTAATATACAATTATTTTTGTTATTTACATTGCGGCTTGATGATTAACAAGGCTTTATATGAGCAGTCTAAGCAAAATCTGCAAGGAACTGAGCGGCTAGCCATTCCCAGTGTGGAAGGGCAAGAGGGAGGAAAGTGGATTGCCATTGACGCTGTTATGTTATGCTCATTGTAGGATCGTCGTTTTTGGTTGTCGAAAACTAGTTTTGATTACGTATTTACTCTAGTTATGGTATGTTTGATTTTTCGCATAAAGCCATGCACCACAATATTTGTGGAAAATTGAAAATGAAATCAGTTGACATAAATAGTAGTAAATACACTGATAACTTCAACAATACGAGAATTTCTTATTTTCTTTTCATTTTTGATACAAGAACTTCTTAAAGATTGATAACCTGAACTAGCACAAAAATTAGTTTAAAACCCATCATGCATGCAAATTTCAACTAACCAAAATCACTTTTCCATCCGCCAAACTTGCTTTATGATAAATCTAAGTTACTGTATGGCTTGCGTACATGAGATGAAACTGGCTGAGATATTTGGATGGATTAACATCCTTATTTCTCAAAGGGGCTTATACCTAGTGAAAAAGTGCTTGGGTGATCTGATCTCCCTCAAACATCATTGATAATATTCTAGTAGTGCCAATTGGGAGCGTAACGTAAAGAATTAATATATGACTCAAAGTATGTATCACAATTCACCTCTAATGTATCTTTTTCCGACTTCTTCGAGGTCCAAAGAGCCTACCTAGTAAGCTCCAGCGTTCTCATCAAGAGCATGAGCTATCACTTTGCCTAAATAAATAAAGAAACCCAGTATTAAAACCCAAAGAGAAAGGAACTAACAATATCAATGAGGCATGTAATGGCAAATGTTATACAAAAGTACAAGATTCATATATTCTACTAGGAAACACAAAATTGGCCTTGGTCATTCAATAATTTAGTCAAAATACACACTACGAAAAGTTTGAGCCCTCGTATGGCTACTGGAAATTTCCATAACAATTTTCAGTTTTCCACGAATATTGTGGTGCATGGGTTTATGCAAAAAATCAAACATACCATAACTAGAGTAAATACGCAATCAAAACTTGTTTTCAACGACAAAAAACGACGATCCTACAACGAGCACAACATAACAGTGTCAATGACAATCCATTTCCTCCCTTTTGCCCTTCCACGAGAAAGAAGGCATTCCCTTTCAAACTAGAGCTTGAGAGAAACTTATATGCAAATGCAACCAGAACTTCGATGAGCCAGTGTCCTAAATCTATCATATGCGTCGTAAAAAATTTAAATTTCTTCACCTAGGTTGACGTATTTAAGTTGAGATATCACCACTTGGACATTTAATTGAACTTAAATATTATATTTTCTAGATATCACTGACGACGCGAAATTTTATGAACATCACTCTTTACTCACCAATAAAATCAAAATAGAGTAGTAGGTAAAAGAGAAAAGACAAATTTTAGAAATATAGTTTTTATAACAAATGATTTTTTTTTTTATGTTTTGACAACTAATTAGTTTGGTATTTCTTCTATTTGGGGAAAGGGATCCTCTCTAGATTTCTTCTACCCAATCAATGAATCTGGATCCTTGAAATTTGATCAAATAGCGAAAAATAGAGTGCCCCTTTGAAAGTTACAATAACTTTAACTGTTGAATCAAATTTCAAGGACTCGAATTCATTGATTGAGTGGATTTGTTAGAAGGGATCCGAAGAGGATCCCTTTCCATTTCTCTAGTCATTAAAGTATTCTTGTCATCCACTTGGTTAAACAAGCATTTATTGTGTGGATGTGACATTTTTGTGAGAATAAATTGTAGCAACGGTCCCTCAATTTTAGTCAAATTGAAACATTGGTCCCTCAACTAAAAATCCATTGCCATTGGTCCCTCAACTTATCAAAATGTGTAGCTATAGTTTTTTTCATCAATTTCGTCAAAATGAGTTATGTTTGAATAACCATTTATATAATTAGGATCCTTCAACTCAACAAAGTGTGTAATTATGGTCATTTTCGTCAACTACATAAAAAATTTTGTCAAAACGAGTTATGTTAGAAGGACCATTGCTACAATTGGGTTAAAGTTAAGGGACCATTTATCCAGTTGAATTAAAGTTGAGGGACCAATGGTAATGGATTTTTAGTTGAGGGACCAATGGTAATGGATTTTTAGTTGAGGGACCATTACTCCAATTGAGTTAAAGTTAAGAGATCATAGCTACAATTTACTCTTTTTGTGAAACACAAAACAAATTGTATTGTAAATGACGCTTTACGCAATGACGAAAAATAACTATATATATGCAACGTGGTGAAGGTACGATTCGTACCGACCTTCTCCCTGCTAACAACTAACAATTAATCTACTAATGTTATTGTTTGTAAAAAAAAATTGTATTAAAGAAGCGTTTGAAACAAGGCCACTATAGTAGTAAAATAGGCATGAGCAGCACTAGCTTTTGATGTTGTCAATACACTATTTACCTAAATTGTGTGCAACTGGCAAACTATGCGCACAACCCAGCTAGGTGGGTCATGGGTGAGCAAACCTCCTGTGTTTTAAGGTATGGATTCCCTTCAATTGTAAGGCAAGGCATTCCTCTATATGATGATGATGATTGATGGAAACAATAAACGAAGGGTAGTGTTATTCACACTTTTGTTAAGTTTTGTTCAATGATCTTCAATCTGACGGCTAAAAATTGAAAAATGTGTGTAAGAAGTAAAAAATAAATGTGTGGATAGCACCACCATCCGAATAGAGAAACTTGGCCCGTGGGCAAAGCCCAATAATTCTGTTTTTCTAGCACAATTGGGATGCTAATGATAACACGTAACCTACTTGTCCAACCTCCTTTTTCACTTACCATCTCCACGTTCGTTCACTTTATTATTTCACAAAGATGTTCTCTCTTGCGCACGGGGTCGCGTTTGTATGAGTTTCGCATGATCCGGTTAAATCTAACGATATCATAACGACATTTTAACAACAGTCTACAATGTCACTAAGACACTAGAACGATTCTCAAACACCGACGAAACAATGACAACACCGTCATAAATTGTGCATAACCTAATTTCGACATGATTTTATTGGTTTTACAGTGTCGTTATGGGGTGATTAGACTCAACCGAATTATGCACATCCGATACACACAAAATTGGTGCGCTAAGGGAGAAAATTTTGTATTTCATATGGGTTCGAAGGTCCAATTCAGAGAAATATTGTGGAAGGGTAACGTGTGTAGTCAACTTAGCCAAACTAATAAGCACGTGACCTACCATTACCAACCCAAAAACTAAAAACATTTCAATATATAATCAAGTTTCCTACAAATAATCATCCCACTTATGCCAAACCAGATACACCATCTGTTTCTCGAGGAGAAGGTTTGTTAATTGTCACGGATGCTGTCTCTCGATTGTTTTTGCCCAGCATGTTTGAAAACCACGTTCCACATACAATGGGAGGGTAGAGTAAAAAGAACAAGGGCAATAATCGTTCCACGCATTTTGTTTTCCTCCTGACACTATTTGGTATTATCTCCGTGATTGCTGAAACTATCATGTCACTTGTTGTATGCGTCTAGTTTTTAATATATATATATATTTTTTTAAATTATAGCATTAGTTTTTTTTTTTAAATCTAATTGGAGCAATAATCTTTCAATTAAAAACCTATGAACATTAGTCCCTTAATTCTTTAAAACGTGCATTTGTGGTATTTTTCATAAACTATGTCAGAATTTCCGTCAAAATGAGTCATATTGGAAAATCATTGCTACAATTTGATTAAAGTTAAGAGATCATTACTCTAATTAGGTAAAAGTTAGGAACTATTACTACAATTTTCTATTTTGGTTTTCCATATTTGCTCCTTAATTTAGCTTCACTTGTGTAACTAGTTTTGACGAGTTAAAGACTAATGGTCACAAATTTTTATTGAATGATCATTATTCTAATTAAATTAAAATTAAAGAATTATTGTTACAATTTTATCGTCTTTTTTCTCTTTTTTCTCGTAAATTTTGTGACGATAGAGATGAAAATATATACAACATGTTGTAGGAAAATTATTCTGAGCATGACTAAGACAATCATGAGAGAAATCATAAATCAGAAAAGGAATACACCATGTGAACGATATCAACAAGAAGAAAAGCCAAAGCCAAGTTGAAATCTCATATATATTTTGTATTGCAATTTGCAGGCAAGGAATAATAAATGGTAAGGTTTCTTCATATTTTGGTTGCCGTGCGTGAAAAGTAAAGTCAGTCAACCAAACACGTTTTAAAAAAGTTGAATTCAGATTTCTATTACTTTACAACACAAACAAGGTGAATTGATTCCAACGGAAACCAAAACACGCATGGTTCCACCAAATTCAATGCTAACATTAAATAATAATAATAATAATTTACAAATAAAAAATGGTCACAAATAAACCACATAGAAGGCCACCTGAAAGTTTGAGGATGTACTCCTAGCCAAGCTTAGGTTGCCCAATAGACTCGCGGCCATCACTAAAACGTGCAAAGAGATTTTAACAAGAAGTGCTTTTCGGATAGGACTAGTGCTTTTGCTATTGCCCCCTTCACGAGGAAAACATTATAGATAATGCTACTATATTGTCGGTCTTATCTTTCGCTTTCTACTAAAGTAGGTACTCTGTTTCCTAAGGCTAAGGAAGTTGGACTCAGTCATCTCCGACACACGTCTCCTCCTCCTTCCTCCTCCTACTTTTGCCTTGTGCTGGTTGTCAATAATTAGGTTTGGCAGGCATATGGAGACCCCGAATTCAACCTGTAATCGTATCAAAAACCAAACGCGTTATTATTTATTTTCCACTTGATTAATTATGGACTAAGTATGGTACTTGATTAATTATATAGACTAAGTATGGTGCCATAATAATTCACAAGTAAAATGATTTCAATCACTAGGCTTTTTTTTTATCAAATTTATAGTATTCACGTGTTATAAAATAAATAAAGTAATATAAAATAAAATAAAGGAAAATTTTGAAACAGATCCAATTTTATAGGTTACTTTGGAAATAATTCTAATTTTTAGTTACTTTAAACCCATATAAAAAGACACCTATAAAAATATATATTATTTATTTTATTTGTACTATGACATATAATATATTCCTTAAATATCTGGTACTTAAAATCTCTCCTAAAAAGTACTTCTACAGATTAAGAACATACAAACCAAGATATTCGTGTGGAAATTTACCTCTCTTTGCGTTTCTCAAGAAACCTTTGCAATGACTTATTGCGAGTAATCGGTAGATCTGCACGATTCATAAAATAAAAATACGTAAGACTCCAACTAAAAATATTAACTTGTTAGTGTTTTAGCGTTAATACTGTAGGATATCAGTGATACTAATACGTATAATATACGAACTTTCTTTACCACTTTACTTACGTAACGGTTTAGCATAATTCTTAAGGATTAACTTTTAAGAGAAGCTTCCTCAATAGTGAAAATATATAAGCAGATGCCGTAAAAAGTAAATATTATTAGAAAAAGTGAAGACTAACATTCGCTAAGAGGATCCACAAGCTGCTGGGTCTGATGCTGCTCGCTTGGATGAAAAGCAAGTTTTGGATCGACGGCTACCGATGCCTCTGCAGCTTTGCCGGAGTTTCCTTCTATGGCAAGCTTCAATATGTTATCCACCTGCACAACAAAATCCAGTCATTAATTAATCAGAATTAGAAACTAAATACCAACAAATTAAAAAACAATTTTTCCTATTAATTAAGAAGGGGAGAAGAAGAAGAGCAAGTTGCCCTTTACTACCGTAGTAGAAAGATGTTGAGCCTTGTATGACGGCATGAGTTCAAACCCGTCGGTTGCTAATCTAACAAAATCTATTGTTTGACAGAAACAAAAGAGGAGAAGAAGAAGAACAAACCTTGTCGCGAGGGACGTCGAAAACAGAGACGGTACCGTTGTAGAAAATAGTCAGCGGCTTCGTTTCCTGAAGGCTCTCTGAAGCAGCAACCGTGAAAGAAGAAACGGAAGTGCCGGTGGGAACGTAGAGCGGCAACGAGGAAAACGGAACTTGCTCCGCCTTGGGGCTCGACGGCACCGAAAATGATTTTCCTGGATTTGGAACGCTGGGGCTGGCATTGCCGGAAGCGATGACGGATTTGAAGGCCTCGGGATTGATCTTGGACATGGCGGTGTGAATGTCTCGGAAGCTTTTGGGGCGGTGGAGAAATTTCTGGAACTGGGATTTGGAGGATGAGGAGGGGGCATCGCGGTGGTGCTGGTCCATGCCGAAAAAATCAAGCTCAACGGTGGCTCTGGGCATGTTTAGAAGGTGTTTGTTGAATTGCTTGAAAGAGTTTGGTTTGGAATTTGAAATTTGGAGGAATGTTGGGGTTGGGGTTGGGGAGGTTTGGATTAGATGAGCAACTTATTAAAATACGAAGGCGGGAGAGAGAGGGGGGCGACTTTTAAGGGGCACGAGATTCATGCAATGTGAGTGAGGAGAGAGAGAGAGAGAGAGAGAGGGAGAGAGAGAGAGATGTTTTTGGAATACTTTATAAGCACACGTCTTCCACGGGGAGGCGCTATCCATGAAGTAAGGTTTTAATCAATAAATGCAAATAATAAAATATGAATAAATTGGACTTGCTGCTGTGCTAGTTGTCTTTGTACTGGGGTTCAAGTGGCCATGGTCCATTTGGCCATTTGGCAATTGTCTTTTTATTTTTTTATTTGGACGATGGCTATTGTCTTCTTTCATCACTTGTATGCTGAAGAGTTGGGCAACGCGTATTCTCAAGAGAAAAAACTTACATAAAACTAAGATGGATATAGAGTTTCAATTAATTATGTATTATTACGTGAGAAAGTTAAATTGAAAGTGCGAAATGCATTTGGAAAATTGTTGTTTTATTGTTTACCAATCATGTTCGGGTTCATGTATAATTATTTTGTTAAAAGTATTTTTGCTCATAAGTCTTGGGATAAAAGTGCTTTCATTATTAACATGTTGAAATTTTTATGCAAACTTGTGCTTCCTAAAAGGTTTTTGGACAATTAGCTAGAACCGATCAGTTTTTGAGATTTGGATGCAGAAATGATAAGTTTTTACCATGTCATTGACGTCATTATATTAATGGCATCAATATATGATTTATATGTCACCATTACTAAAAAAATGATCATTTTTGCAATCAAGTATTATAAAATGATCATTTCAGCTAATTGTCTAAATTCTTTTCCGTTGCAAAAGCACTTTTAACGATTCTAAAAACAAATAAAAACGGTCACTTAGTACTACGGTCTAGTGGTATTCCTCTTCACTTGTAAGTGACAGGTCTTAGATTCGATTCTCGCCAAAAGTGAGTTTAAACTACATTATTGCTAACTCATTGTGAAGTTAAGTCCACCCCTCATTTTTAGTGTGTATAATATTGTTTGTTAAAAAAAAAACAACAACCCTTGTTCACTGGCTTGACCGTGTGTTTTGGATTAAACTGTTCTCAATTAATTAATTGGAAAGTTTCACATGTTTTGGGAATGAATTAGGGCTGGTTTGGTATTGTTGTACTTTGAAAAAAAAGCTGATGTGAGAATAAGCGGATGTGCTGTGAGAATAAGCGGCTGTGAAATAAATCAGCATAGTGTTTGGTAAACTTTTTTGTAAAAGTGCTTTTGGAAAAAAAAGCAGTCTGATAGTGGGTCTTTTCATTAAAGGAGCACTGTAGCTCCGTGTGCTTTGAAAAAAAAACCAGTTTTCCAAAGCTACAAATAGCAGCTTCAGCCTTTTCCTTTGATTTCAGCTTTTTCCTTTGATTTCAGCTTATTCTCACAGCAGCTTCCAAAATAAGCCTTTTTTTTCAGTTTACCAAACACCTAAAACCCTCACAGTTTTTTTTCATAAGTACTTTTTTTTAAAACACCTCACTCTCAAATCACCCCTTAACCGGCAAGGTATTAAGACTTGGCAGTTGGCAAAAGTGCTCTCTGCTTTTCTAGATGCCCTGTGGTTCCAGCAATTTTTAAATGCTTTGGAATGGTCTCTTTCTTTTACTTTTCCTTACGCTTTTCGTGCATAAGGGGTACCTAATGGTGTTTGAGTATGTGAATTGCCTTTTCTTTTATGATAAAAAAAAGTAAAGAGTGTTTTGCTCAAATGGGAGACTCCCCTACTTGAAGATGCTATACATTTTTTTCTCCAGCAACTCTTTCTAATATGTCAGTTTGTCGATTTTTGATCGATATGTCAAAAATGTTGACGAAATTTATTAATTTTAGTTGAAATTTAAAATTTTATCCGATATGAGGTGAAGCTAAACTCCACATCTTCTTATCGTATTTTTATCTAATTTTTTTTAATATTTTCATAAAAATATTGACCATATCGAAAAAAATTTTAAACACTACTCACAACCTAACACTACACAGTCAAATAGGTAATGCTCGAAAACATCATTCCCTCAACAACAAGCATCGTCCGCATAACTACCAACATGGGTGACAACTACAACAACAAAATTGGCCTTCATGACATAATATAAATTAACAAAATCAACTTGCATGAATTTTTAATTTATTTTTATTAATCACGTTTATAATTTGGTTAAGGAATTAAATACTTAGGCAGTGGCCAGCAAGACAGTGACATCCATAGGCACATGTATAAATCGATCTTTTGGTTCGTCAACAATTTGAGTGAGCACTAATTAATAGAAATTTGACAACTTTGGGTGGTTGTACAAAAAGTAGGTAAAGCAGATTGTCCTAATTTTTTTAATTAATTATTGACCTAAAAGATTATTCTCTTTTAAAATTTGGATCTCGTTGTCGATTTGCAAATATCATGAAGTTTCAGGACCAAAAGATAAATAAAATAAAATGGGACGCTGAATTTTCAAGGTAAAGTTGGCGAAAGGAAGGTGTAGGGGAAATCGGGGATAGGAACATGTAACGTCAAAAATCACGTGACTATAATCTCCCGGGGAACTGTAGCCACGTGTTCAATTTTGTAGGCCACTTTCGGTTCATTTGCTAACGTGACGGCAAAAGTCGTCGGCCATGTCGTCCTTCGAGAATTGTCTTTTGATGTGATGCGATGCGTCAATGTAACGGGCAACATCAACAATTTTTTCATGTCATTGTGTTTAATGGATAGTTTGGTATTACTGTGTTTTAAAAAAAAATATTATTTTTGCTGTGCTAAGAGAATAAACAGTTGTGAAATAAAGCAGCAGAGTATATGGTAAACTTTTTTTGTAAAAGTGTTTTTGGAAAAAAAAAAAGTAGTATTATAGTGTTTGGTAAACTTTTATGTAAAACATATGTGAAAAAGTTGGTTTTTCAAAGCTGGGTTTTGCAGCTTTGTGTTTTTGGCTTTTTTTCACCCAAAACTGTGGAAAAAAAAACTAAAGCTTAATGTTTATCAAACACAAAAAAGCTCCCAGCTTTTTTAGATACCGACTTTTTTTAGAATCACCTCAGTATCAAACCAGGTCTAAGTCGCGTCGAGGGGTCCGAATCCCTTCCTCTTAATTCATCAAATCAGGAAATTCGTGTCATTGAAATTTAATTCAACGGCTGAAGTTATTATAATTTTTAAAGTGTGCCCCTATTTGTATCCGTTGGATCAAATTTCAATAATACAAATTTTTTAATTTGGTGGATTATAATGAAGGAATCCGGGGAGGATTCCTTTCCATTTCGAGGTATTTGATTAGTCTTTTATTGAAATGATGTTTTATCTTTTTATTTTTGTCGAAAGAAATGTTTTATTCTTAAATATTATAAGATAGTACAAAACTTAAACATAAATTTCAAGAATTAATGTAACATCCCACATCGTCCAAGTGAGTGATCCTTAAATGTATATTCTCATCTCTACCCAGCACGAGGCCTTTTGGAAGCTCACTGGCTTCGGGTTCCGTAGGAACTCCGAAGTTAAGCGAGAAGGAGGCCAGAGCACTCGGTGATCCACTGGGAAGTTGCTCGTGAGTTCTCAAAAACAAAACCGTGAGGGAATGGTAAGCCCAAAGAGGATAATATCGTGTTACAGTGGTGGAATGGGCCCGGGATGTGGTGGACCCAGGTCGGGATGTGACAGTTTGGTATCAGAGCATAAGTTGAGCAATATTGCATTCATTACACACGTGATGTGAGCATTCTTGGTTCTCGAGTCTAATGTTTGAATCTTGCCACCTCATCGAATACGGAAAATATGTTAGTTGTTTCTAAATTTTGAGCAAAAATTGATAATTTGTCAATCTTTAGAAGATCATTTTGAAGTGTGTCTCTAGATTATAATTAATGAACTTATTTGTCAAGGAAATGTATGGAATTTGAGACTAGTTGCCCTAACATGGAGTTAATGTATCATTATTGATGTATCTTCTTGGATATCGCATGCTACACGGCAATTATTTTTATTCACCAATGTGGTATGGAAAGTATAGTGCCTTGTGCTTGGTGATAGTAGCTATTCTTGGTGATGTGTTTGTGGAGTACCATGTAGGGTTTCATCACGGTGTCTCAAGAAAGTTTTTGTTACCTGTTGGCTTGAACGATGAAGAGTCTCATTTTCATTTTCTGCTTTTTATTTTTCCCTGTCTGCGTTGAAAAACTTATCTTACTTATGAAAATGAATTCGTTTGGAGAAGTGCATGACAATGTACAATATGATCCCCATTTTTGAAACTTGATCCTTTTTTTTTTCCTTGTTGGAATCAGCGAGGTTGATGCAATAGAATGAAGAAAACTTTGGGGGCTTGGAAACCTGGGAGCTTAGTTGGTTTTATGATGTTTACTTGAAGAGCTTGTGGAGATATTTTGGGGAAAAATATCTGATGAGGATTTTGGTGGTTGTATCATGAAGTTAGTTATATAGCACAGAAGGGAATTTTTCAATCAACTCTAATTTCCCAGATTTCGCTCTTGTTGTTACACTTATTAAATGGATGAGAATAGGCTTGCGAATGTAAGTTGTCATATCCTGGGAGTTGTAGAAATCCGAAAGACAGTCATCAAATCCTCCTAGGATCAATGAACTACTTCGCTTGAGCCGTATAATCTAGGATTGTGAAAGCTTAGGATTAAGCTTTGTATTAGAATAGTTAACTCATAGTTGTTTTCACCTTATCACCTACCTAAATAAACGAAATCTCTTCGACTAGCCACCTCTCGATCACTTCGATAGGTAGACAGTATAATCGAGGTATGAGTTAATATTTCGCTGTTAGAGTGATTTGAATTTCGGGAAAATTGTGAAGACCTTTAGTTCGTGTCGTAAAGTTGGCTAGTAGTATTGTACGTTTCAAGGGCGTGTACTTTTGGCGTCATATCCTAACATCTTACTTGGGATATCACCAAATTGCAAACTGAGGTACATCACCGACCCACTTCTTAATGGCACACCAATTTTCCTTGCTTCATATCAAACGTTTCTAATGTCATTGAAAAACTTAATTACAAGTCTACCCAACCTGGGACTAAACACTTTATGGTAGAAACCTCAAATA